CCGCTCGGGTGCCGCCGTAGCAGGTGCCTTGGGGGGCTGAACCGCCGCGTTCCCCCTCCCCGCGCCCACCTCGATCGTGCCGCACACCTCAAGGACACTCGGGTACCAAAACAGGACACGTTTATTGACAAATGTAACCGGTACAGACCACGCGTAACAGGGACAGATGGTGCCGGGCCAGCAGCGATGGGGGGACACAGCAGGGGGCCCTGTCCCCATCCCGTCCTCATCCCGCCCCACCGGCATGGCAGGACCTCGCCGAGTGCCGCTTCTCCCGCCGACCCGAAACTGCCTCGTGTTTAACCGAAACTGTCTCTATTTACACAGCCCGGCCCTGACCCCGCGGCCGTCCCCGTCCCCTCCTTCGCGCCCCCCCCCGCCCCGGCGCTGCCGCCCCCGGGCCCCACGGAGGGCGATGAGGGTCCCAGGGTGGGTGGGTGGGGTGGGGGACATCGAGGGGGGCCGGGGGACCCTGGGGGGGCTCAGACATAGTTCCTCTTGTCATAGCTGGTGACGGCGGAGCGTGGGGCGGAGTAAGCCACCTTGCTTGTGGGGTACCTGTCGTCTTTGGGGGGGCAGGAGCAGCAGAGCAGGCCCCCCCCCAGCAGCAGCAGTGCGGAGGCCGCCCAGCCCACGTAGAGCGAGGTGCCCAGCTCCCGCTTCTGCGCTTCGATCACCAGCGGGTTGTAGAAATCCCGGATGATGGTGTTGGCCGACCAGCAGACAGGGATGAGGGTCAAGACGCCAGAGAGGAGGAAGATGACGCCGGAGACGATGGTGATCTTGGCTTTGGTGCTCTCGTCCTCCACGCAGCGGGTGCACTGGGCGCCCACGATGGCCACCATTAAGCCCAGCACGGCCAAGATGATGGCCACCACCAGCAGGGCGCGGGCGGCTTGCAGGTCCTGAGGGAGCGCCAGCATGGAGTCGTAGACCTTGCACTGCATCTGCCCCGTGCTCTGCACCACGCAGTTCATCCACAGCCCTTCCCAGATGATCTGGGCCGTCACGATGTTGTTGCCGATGAAGGCCGACACCTTCCACATGGGCAACGCGCAGCAGATGATGCTGCACAACCAACCCAGCACGGACAAGGCCACGCCGCCGATCTCCAGCCCCATCGACATGGTGGACAGTTCAGTGACGCGCTCCAGGCGATGGCGGAGAAGAACCCACGGACCGAGACCGTCGCCACCACCCGCCGCCGCTCGCAGCCGGGGGATCGGCTTACACCTGTGCGCAGTGCTATTTATATGGGCTGGCCCCGGGGTGGGGTTTCGGTGCTGGCTGCTGGACGCTCCTCTCTGCTCCTCCGTCACCGTCACCTGTGCCCCACACCCTCCCCTTTGTTTGCAGAGATGGCGCCGGGTAACCAGAGAAGGGCGGGAGGAGGAGAAACGCCACCTGCCACGGCCATCGCCTGGTTTCGGCCGATGGGTATCAGGAAGCACTACCACCGTGCTCATTCCCACCAAACCTCTTCTGTGAACCTGGAAATGCCAAGGGTTCACCTTTCCCCCATGGAGGAAATGTGGCAGGTCAGGGTTTGATTTCTGTAGTGTTGTCAGTGCTCACGTTTAACTGGGGTTCGGTGAGCGTTGGGCACCTTTGCATCACCGTGCAAAGTGCAACCCCTCCGCCATGCCGTGAGTTTGTGTCACCATTCCAGGGGACCTGTGGGTGCTCCTGGCCCTGCAGGAACCCCTTCAGCCTGGCCCCTCCTGTTCCCACCCTGCTGGGCCAGGAGCACAGTCAGAGATCCTCTGACTGACTGATAAATATCTTTACTCATCCTGCACAAGTCTTGTGACCTTGAAGGAAGCAGATAATGCACGTAACCAGCCCAGCAGCATCACCCTGACAACCTGAGCTGGCACCCGGCAAAGGGAAAAATATCCCAAGGCATGACCAATCCCTTCAGACCTGGCAGCAACAGCCCCATGGCTGTGAGGTGCATGTTTCCCCCCCCAGCCTTGCATGCTGGGGGTAGTGCCAGTGCTTCCAATCCCCCTCCCCCAGGAATGTGGTTACTGGACACAGGCTTGCTCCTACCTGTTCCCTGCCTGCTCCAAAAATCTCCTCTACAACTTATTAACTACTCAAGAGCGCGGTGGGATGCTGGCAGCTGGCGCCGTGCAGTTGGGATGGGGGGAACCCTGCAATGCCTGGCTGTGCCCCACAGTGCCCTGATATCCCACAGCCAGAGGGCTTGGGGTTGGGTGCCCCCAGAGCACCCCAACACCCCATAGGCAGAGGGGTGTATGTGGGTGCCGCACAGCGCTCTGATACCCAGTATCTGGTGGGTCACCTTCTATTGCCCTGCAGCACCCTGAACCCCAGAGCCAGCGGGGTCACCCCACAGCACCCTGATACCCCGTATGTATCTGGGTCAGCTCTTGTCACCCCATGTCACCCCAGCACCCCATATCCACCCAGCTTGACCTCCAGCCCCCTGCAGCACCCCATGTCTGACCACCACACTGTGACACCCCAATACCGCCATATCCAGCCTCTGCCAACCACGGCATCCCAAAAATATCCTGTACTTGGCTGGGTGAGCTTGTGCCACCCCACTGTACTGTGATCACCCCCTGAGGACACCAAAATCCCCAGAGCCAGCCGGGGGTACCCAGGGCAGACCCAGCCCGTGCAAGCAGCCCCCAGGGTTCCGTGCCCCTGCTGGGGGCGCTGGGGGTTCCGGCCCTAGGGGCACTCGAGCTGGGTGTGCACGGTGCCGTGCTGCCACGGGACCGGGCTGCAGAGAGGGGCCGGGCTGCCCAGGGGCCCACGGGTGCAGGCAGGGAGGGCCCGCAGCCACGGGGAGCGGGAATGCACACACGGCAGCTGGACACACACAGACAGACACACGGACACATGCAGACACACAGACAGACACACAGACAGGTACAGACACACAGACAGACACACAGGTACAGACACACACACACACACACAGACACATACACAGACACACACAGACAGACACACAGACAGGTACAGACACACAGACATGCACACACACAGACAGGTACAGACACACAGACAGGTACAGGCACACACACAGAGACACACACACAGACACACACAGACAGACACACAGACAGGTACAGACACACACACACAGACACACAGACAGGTACAGACACATAGGTACAGGCACACAGAGACACGGGTGCAGGCAGAGACAGGTACAGGCACAGACACACAAACCCAGGTGCATAGGTAAACACACACACACACACACACACACACACACAAACACACACACACACACACAGGTACAGACAGACAGACACACAGACAGGTGCAGGCGCACACACACAGACAGACACAGAGACACACACACACAAGTGCAGGCACACACACACACACACACACACCACAAACACACAGGTGCAGGCACACACACACACAGACAGACACACACACACAGGTTCAGGCACACACACACACACAGACACACACACATAGGTTCAGGCACACACACACACACACACACACACAGGTTCAGGCACGCACACACACACACACACACACACACACACACCCTCTGCTGGCAGCAGCACCCCGGCATGCAGCTGCGCACAGAAACACATGGACACGTAGACACACAGACACACAGCGACAGACTCGGACACACAGACACATGGAGACAGCCAGACACACGGACATAATGACTGACAGATAGACACAGAGACTCACCGACAGATTCACAGACACACAGACTCACAGACATAGATTCAGACACACACACACGCAGACTCCCAGACAGACTCAGACTCACATAGACAGACACTGACACAGAAGCAGAGGTGAACAGGCAGTGGTACAGGCGCACTCACACACACCCTTCCCCAGTGCACATGAGGCTGTGGCCAGGGGTTCCCCAGGCAGGGCTCTGGGCCAGGAGGGGACCCCAGGCAGGGCTGGGTTATAAGGAAGGGGGGTTGGCACCCCAGGCAGGGCTGTGGGGCACAGAAATAGGGGCAGGGCTATACCCCCAAGTCTGTGGAACAATGGGAATACTCAATAGCAGGGCATGGGGCAGGGAAGATAACCCACATAGGAGTGGGACATAGGAGAGAGGGATACCTCTGGACGGGGATATGACACAGGGAAGATGTTCCAGGTAGGGCTGTGGGGCAGGGGAAGAGTGGGATACTCAAGGCAGGTGTATGGGATAGGAGCTACTGGGGCAGAGCTGGGGTGGGACAGGGCAGTGAAACACCACAGCCCCCGAGCCTGCAATCAGAGCCCCACACGCGGCGTCCCCACTTTGTCTTCCCAAATTGCCCAAAGTACAGGCTGTGCCCGCTGTCGTGCCGGCCTGGGGCAGCTGCTGCCGCCTGACTCACGACGGAGGAAGGGGCAAATCACCGGGGTTTCGGGGTGCTGGCCACCCCCGGCAGGGCACATTCTTGTGGTGAGCAAACCAGCTCACTGGTGTTTACTGAGGAGCTGAGCAGGACCAGCGTCCCTGGGGGATTCCTGAGAGCACCCCCGTCCCAAGCACTGCATCTCCCTCCCCAGCGCAGTCCCTCTGCACTTCCACACAGCTGGGGAGGGATGTGGAGTATCCAAGTCCCTCGGGATGGGGACGAAGTGTGGTGGCTGTGAGAACTCTGTGGTGACACGGGGACAGGTTTTCTCCGCTGTGATGCAGAGACCCCGAACAAATGTCAGACCCAAAGGTCACGGGAGCATCACCGGTTTGGTGGCCTCAATGGAAGGACACCTGCGCTGACAGGGGGGACACCACTGCAGCATCCGCCATCCACGCACCCGCAGCACCCGGGGGTGCGCGGGAGGTGACGGCAGAAACCGCCCCGGGGCCGCGGGGCCGCGTCCCGCTCACGTGTGCGGCGGGGCCGGGGTGTTCCCGCCGCTGCGGTCGGGAATGCCGGCGCTTTTCCCCCGGGGCAGCGGGGCCGGGGCGCTAAATGCCGCCTCGGCTGCTTATATTTCAGGCGCGGGGCTGCTGGCTCTGCCCCGGCCAGGGCACACAGGCAGCCCATTGTTGGAGCCCCTTCGGCGCGGCGGGAGCAGGTGAGGCGGCTCCGAGCATCAATGGCAGCTCTGTCTGCGGCGGGGCGGGGAGGCGGCTGCGGCGCTCGGGGCTGGGGGCGGCGGGGACACGGACCGGCGGGATGTGTCGGGGGGTTCGCTGCGGGATGCTGGACCGTGCCCCGGCATCCCCACCCGACAGATCGGACCGTGTTCCCCGGGGCTTTGCCGTGACATCCCGCTTCCTCCGGCGGGCGTCGCCGGTGGGGACACCCCCATTGCACCGCCGTGACCCCCTTCCTGATCCATCATCTCCTCCATCCCTTAGCCAACCACCCTGGCAGCGCTTAGGGGTCTTTTCCCTGTCGGAAGCCACTTGTTGCATAGAAACTGGACAGAGTTTTGACTTTCAGAGCGACTTCAGGCCGAAGGTCCCTTCTCTCCCTGCAGGGACCCCACAGGTCCCGGCGTGCGGCTCCCCTCCCGATAAGACTTTGCTTTCCCCAGCGACAAACAACCTGACTGTGCATTTTTGAGTGGGTCGGAGGGATTTATGTTGGGCAAGGATGTTTTTTGGGAACATTCAGTCTCTGGGCTGTCGGAAACTAATCCTCAGCCTCCAGCGGGGAGAAGCTGCCCCGCTCCTCACAGCCTGAGTGGGAGGGTTGTTGGCCGTGCCTTGCTTGGCAGATGTGAAGCCAGAGATCCCGGTGGATCATCATTTGCTGGCAAGTCTCACCTGCCTCTTTGGGACCTTGAGGTAGTCAGGTTGGTGGGTCCATGTGTGGGTCCTGGGGAATGAGGGGCTCTCGGCTCAGTGGTGGGGGCTATGTGAGGTGGGACTGACACTCATGTCCTGGGTGGAGGTGTCCCCAAGATATTTTTGGCAGGAGATTCATGCCCCAAGCCCTCTCCCTGCGGGGTGTCCTCTACCCTGAGCAAGGCCAGGGTGACACAGCCTCTGCTGTGCACCCAGCAGTGCCTGGCATTGTGGTGACACTGTGTTTAATGTCAGCTTCCTGCCTGGGAATGGCCTCACTGCCCAGCTGAGGGGCTGCAGTGTGTCCCCATGCTGGTGAATACAGGAAAAGTGTCAGAAGGTGTTTCCTGATGGATGTGCCACAACGGGAGCTCTGCCCTCACACACCCTGTTAGTGCAGTGTAACAGGGATGGGAACCCAGGCTCCTGCATGTCCTCCAAATCCCACTGCATTTGGGGCAGGGCATCCACGGCTGTCTGGATGCTGGGGCAGGTGCTGGGTGGTGAAGGCTCAGGATGGGTTGAATGTGTTGAGCAGCCTGTTTTGGGGTGGAGGAGCTTCCTGCTGGGCAAGTGGGCTGTGGTCCCACCAGGACATGTGCCTGTGCCATGGCTTCTTGCAGGTGACACTTGGGAAAATCTGGGACTGGGGTCCTGCAGGATGCACTGGCAATGAGCATTGGGATAGGGCTGTGGGGCTGGTGTCCCTGTGGGGCTGGTGTCTGTGCAGTGGTTGTCCTGGATGGACGTCCTGAGGCGCCTGCTGGTCCCACCTGTGCTGCACCACCATGCTCAGGCTCCAGGGGCTCTGGGGTCGGCTGCTGCTCCTCCATGCCAAGCCGGTGTCTGTCTGTCCGGCAGTGCTGGGGACACGGGGCCAGCAGTGCTGTCCGGGTGGGTGTGTCACTTGGGAATGTGGGGAAGCCACAGGGGCTGCCCCTGCGTGGCAGCTGCCAGGTGGAATTTATGTCACGTTCCAGCATTAATTACAGTAATTGGCTGTCAGAGGCTGTGCTGGCGCCTGCTCTGCCTCCGAGGGGGAGATGAGCAGCTCAAGCTTTGATGCTCCGTGCGCGGGGGAGTCCCTGTCCCCACCTTGCCATTTGTCCCCAGCCCAGAGACATGTCCCCACGTGCCTGCGGGGACACCGTGCCGCTGGGAGCCACACACACACACACACACACACACACGCGCGCACACACACACACACACAGGAGGGCGTGTGCCTCTCTCCAACCCCAAACGCTGCGGTGGTTACAGCAGCCGGCCGGGAGGTGAAAGCCTCAGGCAGAGTCTAGCCCCGGCGGGGATGCTCCGGAGCCTTGTAGATTAAAGGGAGCCCTTGCCCACAAGGTTCTGGCCGCAGGGTAGACACTCTGGTATGTGAACAATGCGGGCATTCCAGCAGGACAGAGGGATGGAGCCTGGGCAGCTCCTCTGGCACAGGTCAGGCCGGCAGGACCATGATCATCTCCCTAGGCTGGGGTCTGCTGTGAGACGTGGGTGTCCCCAGGCATCTTCCTGGTACCGCAGTGCATGGGCCACCAGGCTTGTCCCACCACACTGGGACATGATGCCCAGGGACATGCTGGCACGAGCAGTAGCAGCTCCAGAGTCCGTCACACCAAGCAATAAGAACAAATGATTGAATCGTGATGGTAACCCAGTGCTCAGGAAAACTAAGATTATTGCACTGCCTCTTATCTTCTCCTGGGGCCCAGGATTAAGCTAGGGTGATGAAACAGTGCAATGTCCGTCTGTCTGTCTGTGCCATCTGTCTGGTGTCGTGCTGTGCCTGTGCAGGGGCTTGGAGGGAGTTGGGAGGGAGCCCATGTGGGAGTCATGGATTAAAAGAGGACAGGTCAGCATTAGCATGGCATCAGTGTTGGCATTGGTATTGGCATCAGCATGGCATCAGTATTGGTATTGGTACTGGCATCAGCACTGGGATCAGTGGGTATGGCTCTGGATGTGATCAGTGGGATCAGTGGGTATGGCTCTGGGACAGCTCGAGGCTGCATTTGCCCCTCGTAGCCCCAACCCACCCAACCCCACCACGCAGGCAGTGGGACACGGGCAGAGCTGGGGCTGAGGGTGGTGGTGTGAACCCTGGCTTGGCACTGGGGCACAGGTGAGCTGGGTTTGGGGTCTGCCCCCCTGTTGCCCCAGGCAGTGCCGTCTCTCCTTTGTGGGGAAATGGCAGCCGCTCCAACCGGTTTGTGGGTCTGGGCGGTGGCACCTCCTGCCCGAGGCCTAATGGAGGGCTGCAAGTGCTGGTATGGATGCCAAGGAGCAAACAAGAGCCTCTTGTGTCCTGCCGGGCATGGAGCCAGCAGCCAGAGGGAACAATGTGCTCCTCCTGGGGCCATGGGGGGCCAGAGGCCGGCCTATGAGCTGGAGGGAAGTTGAGGCATGAAGGCGTGAAGGGACCCCATCCAAGCGATGGAGCAGAGGGTTCTGGCAGGTATGGCAGAGATACCCTGGTGCCTGGACACTGGCTCTTCCCCTTTAGCATCCCGGTGCTGCCCTGGGCATGTCCTGCCTGCCCACAGCAATGGGATGCACTCCTGCACCTGGGTGGCCTGGTTCCAGTCCCCTGCATCCTCCTCCGTGGGAGCAACCGGGATATTAAGTGTCATCACTGCAGGGAGAAATACAAGTGGAAGAATCCCGGGAAACTGGTTCTACCCCTCCGTCCGGTGCCGGCGGCAGGCCAGCGGCTGCGGCGGCGCTCCTCCCTCGGCAAAGGCATAAAATGCCTGCCATGGTCCCGGCAGCCGGCACTGCGCGGCGGGAGGCGGGCGGGAAGCGATGGCCTCCATGGGGATGCAGGTGCTGGGCATCGCCCTCTCTGTCATCGGCTGGCTGGCCTCCATCCTGTGCTGCGCGCTGCCCATGTGGCGGGAGACGGCCTTCGTGGGGAACAACATCGTGGTGGCACAGATCATCTGGGAAGGGCTGTGGATGAGCTGCGTGGTGCAGAGCACGGGGCAGATGCAGTGCAAGGTCTACGACTCCATGCTGGCCCTGCCGCAGGACCTGCAAGCCGCCCGCGCCATGGTGGTGGTGGCCATCGTCCTGGCCATCCTGGGCACCCTGCTGGCCGTCACCGGCGGCAAATGCACCAATTGTGTGGAGGATGACACCGCCAAAGCCAAGGTCATGATCTTCTCCGGCATCATCTTCATCGTCGCCGGTATCCTCATCCTCATCCCCATCTCGTGGTCAGCCAACAGCATCATCCAGGACTTCTACAACCCGCTGGTCTCTGACTCGCAGAAGCGGGACCTGGGCTCATCCCTCTACGTGGGCTGGGCGGCCTCGGCGCTGCTGCTGCTCGGGGGGGGGATCCTGTGCTGCACCTGCCCCCGCCGCGGGGAGAAGCCCTACTCCGCCAAGTTCACGGCTGCTCGCTCCTTGCCAGCCAGCAACTACGTGTAGGAGCCGCCGCGCCTGCCTGGACCCCCGGCCGCTCCAGGGCGCAGGGACCTCCCAGGACACGCAAAACCTCCCCGGCCGGGCTGGGGCTGGCCGGGCGCCGGGGCGGTGCGAGGGAAGGCAGACAGAGCCGCCTTTGTTCCACCGGGGTTGCAGCCGGTTCTCTAATCTCGGTTGAGACAGGGGACAAGGAGATCCTGTCCTGGCTGTCCGCGGTGGGGGCTCTGCTCCCCCCGGAGCGCCCAGCTGAGGCATCTTCTCCGAGACATCACCTGATCTCCTCCCCGAGCATTAGCTGGCTCCCGGTATCGGGGTGTGCCGTGTGGTGACACAGCTCCCAGGAGCCCGTCCCACGGGTGGCACGGGGCTCTCTTTCCCCGCGTGAAGCTCCCCGGGACGTGTCTGTCCCTCGGGGTGGGTGGCGGTGTCGGTGCTGATAGGGACCGCGGACCTGTCCCGCGTGGTCACAGGGACGCAGTGATTCTGCAAAACCCGGCAGGGTCTTGATGGGTGACAGGGGCTGTCACCTGCCTGATCTCTAAATTATGACTTTGACCTACTTTCGGGGCTCGGAGCGGCCGTACAGAGTGTGATTTCTCGCGGCAGCTCCCCAGGGCGGGGGCATCATTATCCTGGGAGTGGGACGGCAGCAGCCGGGCTGGGAAAACCGGTCGGGGAGGCGGGGCGGGAGCGGGGCTGTGCCCCCGCATGGTGGGGGGCGTCCCCCGGACCCGACCCCATCCATGGCCCCAGCGTGGGGCGCCCGGGGCGGGAGCGCGGTCTCACGGTACCCCTGCCCATGTTCAGCCTTCCCGCATTAAACGGCAGCTGCTGTCACCCCGCTGTGCCTCGTGTTCTTTGCGCTCTCCAGCACCCGCCTCGGTGGCGGGACAGCCCGGTGCTCCTGTGCTCTGGGCTCTCCTGAGCGATCACCCAGATCTGTTCTTCGCAGTCTCCTGAGATCCCCGCCGCCTGTTCCAGCCCTGGCGTCCCCTCCCCGTTCCCCTCCCGGGCCGCCCGGGGGTGACAGCGGCACAGAGCCTTGGCGGCGCCGGACGGGGCGCAGGGCTGTCCCACGCCTGTCCCACGCGTGACCCGCCGCGATCTCCCCACCCGAGCCGGCAGAAGGCGGCGGGCGCCGGCCGGGGCGGGTCGGGGCGCGCTGGCCCCGGTGCCGCCCCCGAGCCCCGGCCGGGAGCGCCCCGGGCCCGGCGTGGGCAGCGCCCGCTGCTTTGCCTATCTCGCTTCCGGCACGGCAAGCGCTGCTCTGCCCTGGGAACATCCTTCCTTCCTTCCTTCCTTCCTTCCCACCTCAGGGTTTGGGGGACGGTGGTGACCCCGCCTAGCTCTGGGTGTCTCCTCTGGATCTGAGAGCTAGAAGGCTCCCAGCTCCACAGTCCCTTCACTGGGCCCGGCAATGGTGGAATATATGCCTGTAACCCTGTGGTGCCGGTGGGCAGGTGGGAATGTGAGCTCAGTGCTCTGCCGAGCATCCCCGGGGATCCGTGGAGGCACCGCTTGTCCCCCTGCAGGCACTCGTGGGCCCTGTTTGGGATGTCTTGTGTGGCCAGGTCCTGCTGGCTGGGGAAGGGTGCCTGGGATGGTGCCCACCACCCCAGCCCCTGCCTTCCTGCAGCACGGGGGAAGGGGCTGTGATTTGGGCCCAAAGGCTGTGATTTGGGCTGTGATTCATGGCCCGGGGGATGCCAAGGCCAGTGCTGGGTGTCCATCAGGCTCCTGAGGGATAAAAGGTGCTGGGTAAGGAGTGGGGATATAGCGGGAGAGGAGAGGCTGGAGAAACCAAAACCGAGACAGGGGAAATGATGGTGAAACCTCTGGCAGGAGCCGCAGGGTGTGCCAGGCACAACCGATACCCGCTGAGCTCGGGGCCATAAAACCCCGGCTGGTCCCAGGTGCCAAGCACGGCACGGGCACCCAGGGGTGAACTCTGCTCCGTGAGGGGCTGAGCTGGATGTGGGCTGAGCCAGGGCCACAGCAGTCACACGTGGCCATGGTGGAGCTGCCAGTGTGCCCAGCATGTGTCCCTACACCAGCCACCCCTCACCCATGGATGCCATCTGTGGTGACCCCATAGCTCCTCACCAGGGTTTGCCCTCTTGGGGCTGCTCCTGGGGCTTCTCTGGGATGGTATTGCAGAAGGTCTGAGCCCCAGAGGTGGGATCAGGGCAGAGCTCAGCTCTGATCCATTTCCCTTTTCTCCTGGAGAGGAGATCCTGGGTCCAAAGGGCACTGTGGGATGGCTGTGAGGGCAAAGCCAGAACGGGAGCAGGCAGTGCTGAGTGCTGTGTGGGACTGCCTTCCCTGCCGTGCCCTGTGCCCTTCCCTGTGCCCCTGGCACGAGGCTTGTGGCCGGGGAGGCTGAGCACCCGTTCTGGAGTGGGACATGGGGTGGGCACCGGGGGGTGGGCACCAGGGCAGGCCATGGGATGGGTGTGAGGTGGGGGGTTTGCACTCTGCAGCACTGGGGGGTGGGCCCACCTAGCCCCCCATCCTGCCCCCCATAAGCCATGCCTTCCCTGACACTTGCCATGGCCTGGGAAGGGGGGATGGCAGCGGCTGTGCTGCACTGTGGGGACAGTGTAGGGGCCAGTGTGACACACGGGGGCTCCTGCACCTTGGCCTGCTGGGGCCTGGCTCCTCAGTGCCACATGTGTCCCCATCCTGTCCTGCAGCACCGCCCCATGCCACTCGTGTCCCTGTGCCCTTCAAGTCCCCGTGTCCCCCATGTCCCCATGCTGCCCTGCAGCCATTCCCACCCTGGGGGGAGCAGGGCATTCCAGACGAAGCCCACGCTGTCCCTGGCTGTGGGCCGTGCCTGTGACACCCGTGCCTGTCCCCGCAGGAGCTGTTGATGGCGATGATGACGATGCAGACGGGAGGACTGATGATGGCCGCCCTGGGCTGGCTGGGCTCCATCCTCACCTGTGCCCTGCCCATGTGGAAGGTGACGGCCTTCATCGGCTCCAACATCGTGGTGGCCCAGGTGTTCTGGGAAGGGCTGTGGATGAACTGCGTCTACGAGAGCACGGGGCAGATGCAGTGCAAGGCCTACGACTCCCTGCTGGAGCTCACCTCTGACCTGCAAGCTGCTCGTGCCCTGGTGGTCACCTCCATCTTCGTGGCCTGCCTTGCCTTCTTCATCGCCCTCTCGGGAGCCGACTGCACCCGCTGCGTGGACGACAGCGGCACCAAGAGCAGGATCTCCGCGGTGGCAGGCGTCATCTTCATCATGGCCAGCATCATGCTGCTCATCCCTGTCTCCTGGTCTGCCAACAGCATCGTCAGCAACTTCTACAACCCCATGGTGCCCGAGGCCCTCAAGAGAGAGCTGGGGGCTGCCCTCTACATCGGCTGGGCCTCCAGTGCCCTGCAGCTCTTTGGTGGGGGCGTCCTGTGCTGCTCAGGATCCCAGTCCCAGCAGGACCCCTACCCCAAGAAGTACAGGGCAGTGAAAACCTGCGGCCCAATGGGCTATGCCATGAAGGACTACGTGTGAGCCACTGTGCCCAGGTGCCAGCCCAAGGCAGAGCACCGCTGTCCCTGTCCTGCATCCCCGTGCCACACCCTGCCCCTGCACTGCCTCCCCCTGCCCATCCCCACGCTGGCTCACCCCCAGCACGGTCCCCACATGTGCCCTTCCCCAGGACAGGGACTATAAACATCCTGGTGCCACCAAGGCTGCCTGGGCTCATTTTGAACAGCGCGGTGTGGGGAGGATGGTGACGTGTCCTGGGGGTGCTGTGCCCTGCCAGCTGCTGTGCTCCAGCACCTACAACATCCCCATCTTCCCAAGGGGATCAGCAGCAGTCTGCCAGCTCCTGGCATTCCTTGCAGCTGGAAACAGAGGCAGGGAGAGGATGCTGAGCTAAGAGAGGCACGGGGGGACACCAGGTGCTCTGAGCCCCCATGGACTGGGAGGAGACCCCAGAGAAAGGCTGAACCCCCCCCCTCCCAAGCTCCTGGCCACCCACCCTGGAGGGGGCACATTCCCACTGCTCTGGGAACAACACACAGCCGACAGACAGCAGGGACAGGGCTTTATTGAACAGGCAAGTGTAGGGCTGGGCACAGCCACAACCCCCAGCTGCCCAGGGGACAGTGCTGGACACAAATGGGGAGGGAGCAGTGGGACTGATGGGCACAGGGACCCCAAAACACGGGGGACAAAGCAGAAGGGTGGCAAGAGCCATGGGGAGGGTGAGTGTGGAAGATGTGGGATGCCCTGGGTGAGGAACAGGGACAGACACAGCCATTGCCTCACACTGAGAACAGCTCCTGAGGGGAAGGATGCAACCTCTTCTCCAGGAACATGGGAACAGGATAAGCAGGAACAGGTCTGAGGGAAGGGAAAAATGAAAAAAAAAAAAACAAAACAAACAACCAAATATTCCAGGAAGAGATTTGGGTAAAAAACTTCCCAAGGGAGCAGTGGAGGAGGAATTGTGAAGGCAGCCCAGCAAGGGGCTGGGGGAACAGGCTGGGCAGGCAGTGCTGGATGGCTCCTGGGTGGGGAGCAGCTGCCAGCTCCCCAAATCCCTTCCAGACTCATTTCCCCTCCCTGAACATTAACTACAAAGCTGTGGGAAAATGAGATTCAAGCAGCCGTTGTGGGATGCAAGGCAGATGTGGCACTTGGAAAGCCTCTCCACCTTGGCATTGCTGTTTTGACTCTGGACGTGGAGGCTCCTGCACCTCAGGGCTGGCTCGGTCCCCAGGGAGGAGGAGAGGCCACAGGACACAGCAGTGGGGACCGACCTCCAGCAGCCCCCAGCTAATGACTCTGGGGGTAGGAGATGGAGAAGGATCCAGATTTGACCATGAGTGCTGAGATGGGGAAGGTGGGCAGAGGACATCCCAGACTGGACATGCCTCAGAACAGCCATGTGGGTCTGTGAGATGCCATGGTGAACGGTGAGGTGTTGGGGTCAATATCTAAATGTCAGAGCTAAAGGTGGCACACAGGAGACCCTGGTGAGTCCAGAAACCCTCCCCATGCTGTGCAGCAGACAAGGGCCCCAACCAAGCCCAGACCTCGGTGAGAAGGGACCAAGGAAGGGAATGGGGAAATTCCCCCAGAATATTGTCACCCCCAGCAGCTGCCCTGCTGCAGGAGGGGGCCACTGGGCTCTGTTTTACAAAGGGTCAAGTGCTCACCCCCCCTCCAGAGCCATGCTAGCTCTCAGCCCTCCTCGAGGTTGGGAACAGGGCACTTCTGGTAGATGTAGACCACCCCAGAGATGTAGCCAGTGCCCTGGGTGCTCTCCTCCTCGGAGGTGGCCCTCTCCCAGTACTCCACTTCCTGAACCTGCAGCTTCTGCCAGGCTCCCCTCTGCTCCAGCTGCCCCAGCGCTGCCTCCAGCTCCGCCTTGTACCGCAGGTTCGAGGGGTTGCTCCTCGTCGTCAGGCACAGGAAACCGCCTGCGGGACAGGAGACAGGTAACAGTGACACAGAGCGGGGACACGGGGAGGCACCGAGAGCCCGCCCGGAGTCAGCGGGCACGGACAGGGCACAGACAGGGCACAGACGAGGCACGGACGGGGCAGCGGGCAGGGGACAGGCAGGACAGCAGGCAGAGATGGGCAGCACAGGGGCCGGCAGGGCATGGGCGGGATGTCCCGCCTGAGCACAGCTGTCACACACCAGCACCCTCACTGCCACCTCGTCCCGCTGCCCAGCCCTGGCAGCGGGCAGGGTCAGGGACCCCGTGAATCGCCCGTGCGTGGCAGCAGGGACAAGGCCGTGTTCCAGCTGTGCCACGGGCCCAGCGCTCAGCGGGGGTCCCACATCCACCGGGGCTCGGTGTCCCATCCCAGCCCGCCGGGGGTCCCGGCGCGGAGGGAAAGGGCCCCCCCTTACCCGGCTTGGTGACCCGCAGCAGCTCCGGCAGCACCGTGCTCGGCACCTGGCCCTCGCCCAGGGCCCCCACCACCGTCACGGCGTCGTAGTGCTCTGCGAGGACCCGGGGCATCACCGGGGGGACCCTCCGGGGCTCCCCCGCCCGGTGCCGGCCCGTCACCCGCGGGTGTCACCGAGGGGTCCCGGGGTCCGCCCCCTCCCGTTACCTGCGGGCGCGGGCAGCGGCTCCCTGCCCAGGACGCAGAGCCGCAGCTCCCGGTAGAGCCCGGTGCTCCGCGCCCGCTCCAGCATCCCCGCGCTGCCGTCCACGCCGTCCACGCAGCGGAACCCGCGCCGGTGGAGCTGCGGGGACAGAGGCACCGTCACTCCCTCCCCGCCCCGTCCCGTCCCGTTACCCCCAGCCCGGCCCGCCCTGTCCCATCCCGTTAGCCCCGGCCCGTCCCGCCGGTACCTCCCGCGCTACGAGCCCGGTGCCACAGGCCACGTCGAGCAGCCGCGCCTCCGCACGCGGCGCGGGGAAGGCGAAGGCGAGCGAGGCGGCGGCGAGATACGGTGCCCGGTACTCCAGAGCCGCCACATCCTGCGGGGACACTGCGGTCAGCGGGGACACCCACGGCCCCGTTCCCGTTCCCGTTCCCTCTGTGTCCCCGGTACCTGCTCGTAGCGGGCGGCCCAGCCGTCGTAGAGCCGCAGCCGTTCGGGCAGCGCTGAGCCCCGGTGCACCGCAGCTACGCGGTCCCGCACGGCTGTCGGCAGCCCCATGCCGGTACCGCCCGGTACCGTCCGGGCCGACTGACCCGCGCCGGGCCCGCCCCCGCCACCATTGAGCCGGAGGCTCCGCCCCGGACACGCCCCTAAAGCACTTGGCCCCGCCCCCCGCTCGCGGCGCGACCCCAGTGCCTCATTGGCTTCTCTGCTCGCCCAGGACACGCCCCCAAGCGAGGTTCCACAATGACCCCGCCCAGGACCGCCCCACAGAACACGCGACCCCGCCCCGGCCAATTGGTTGGGGGCGCCCGCCCCGGCCACGCCCCCGCGCTCCATTGGCAGCCGGAGTTGCCCCTCGGGGCGTTGGGAGCGACCAAGTGCGCTGGGCAGCGGGGGGGGGGGGGAGAAGGACCCGGTGTCCTGAGACCTGACCAAGCGTCCGAGTGGTGACCAATGGCCCAGGGAGGCGTCAGATGTCCTGGGGGGCTGGCCAAGTCCAGCAATGGTGACCTCAAATACCCCAGGGCCGTGACACCGAATCCCCGCGGGGAGCGGCACCGGGGGCCCCAGGACGCCTGTCTCCAGCAGTGTCCCCTGTTCCTGCTGCTGTCACCTGCAGGGGTCAGTGCCCATTGCGTCACTCATGTCCCAGGCGCGGGGACAGTGTCCTGGACAGGTCACCTCCTGCCCGGGCCCTTGCCCCAGCCCCACACGGCCCCAGCGCTGCGCTGTTCTCCATCCTGCCCCCGCATCTCCTTCCTCCACTCCGACCGTCACCCAGCGTGGCCACCACCCGCGCCCGCCGTGTCGCACCGTGTGCGGCAGTGACAACCCGGGACTGCCCCCGGGGAGGAGGCCACGCGCTACCGGGCAGCTGCTGCTTGTCCTGAGCGGCCCGTGCCGCCCCTCGGGCCGGCGGTCATTGTGCGCTGCCCCGTGGGGCCAGGGGCCAGGGGACAGGAGCGGGCCGTGGCGGGGAGGGAGAGGCGCGGGCTGGCTCCTGCGAGGAGCCGGGAGCTGGGTTGATGATGGCGGCCGGCTCCTTGCAGCTCGCGGGGTGCCATCAGTGTGAGACCTGGGTGAGGTTCGGGTTTGGCTCAGAGCAAGAACAGCCCTGAGACCCCGCGCGATGCACGGCGGGGGCGGGATGTCACCTCCAGGTCACCGTTCTCCGGAGTGCTTGATCCAGGTGCCCAATGTCTGTGAGGTTCCGTACTCAGCTGCGTTATCCCTCCAAGGGCGAGGTCACTGCGGGAGTCCCCGTTAACCTTTGGTGTCGCAGCGAGGCCGAGGGACAAGCTCTGGGACAAGCCACAGCTGTGCCCATCGCCTCCGGCTGTTCCCAGAGCGAAACAGACGGATCCAGCCGCTAATTAGTGACGGATTCAGCTGCTAATTAATGACGGGAAGAAAATGCGGTGCCCTGGCGGAGCCGGTGGCCGCTCCGAGGCCGCGCTGGTGGCCTCGTCACCTCCTGTGTCCCTCTCTGGGGCCCTGTCGGTGTCACAGGCGGGGCCGGCTCAGCCCGCGGCCGGTCGGTCAGTGCTGGCCGGGACCCTCGAGAGGGAGCCCTCCGCCCGCGGGACGGGCCCGCACGGCCGCGCTCGGGGCTCCTGGCGGAGCCGCAGAGCACAGCGCGGGGCTGGGGGCGCCCAGGGCTCGGCCCGGGACAGCAGCGACCGTGCCACCCACCCCGGGCACAGGGATGGCTCCCGGGCTGGGGCTGCGGCGCTGTGACAGCTCCTGCCACTGTCCATGGGCATTTTGTCCCTCCTGCTGCCACCAGCGTGGGCCCAGTCCTGTCCCTCGTGCTTGGCGTCCTTGGGAGGGCTGTGGCCTCCAGCACGGGCTCTCTCAGTCTCGCCATGGTTGCCACCACTAAGTGAACTTCGCTCGAGGAAGCAGTGCCAGGATGCACCTCCAGCACGCCCTGTCCCTGCTCTGCTGGCCCCAGGGGCCACCGGGCCTCGCCTTCTCAGCCTTGACCTGGACGGATCCAGCCCCGAATCTGCCGGTGCTTTCTCCATCCCTTCCCGTGCCTGGCTGGCTCTGTCACAGCACAGCTGTGCAAACACCTGCACCCCGTGCCACCCCCACGGCTCTGGGCTGGCTGGGGCCCAGCATGGCCCTGCTGGGGTCTGCACAGGGCCTGTTGCCAGCGTGGGATGGCCTGGGCCGTCCCTGCTCAGGGCTGGGGACAGAGGTGGCAGCAGGTGTTGGCAGGCTGGAGCGTCCCATGGCCGGTGTGAGGCTGGACTTTGTCCTGACACGTGGCCTGGTGCTGGCGGGCTCCCACTGGGTCACAGGACGTTCCTCTCTGATGGTGCAGTTTCTTGGGGCGCTGTCCTTGTCCCCTGCCAGGGGACAGGGCTCTCTGTGCCCTGATGGGGTGCTGGGACACTGGAGCTCAGCTCAGCTGCCCTGATGGAGTGTCCCCACCGCCCCTCAAAGGGACCTGGAGGAATGTGTGCCCCCAAGGCAGGGGCTGAGCCCCCCGAGCCCACAGATCTCTGCTGGGGCCTCGCCTGCCCTCCCTCCCCAAGGAGCTGCTGCAGGGCTGGAAGTGTAGCTTAGGTGGGGCCCTCATCTCCAAAGCTGCCACTGAGCTGGGACAGGAGCTGGAAAAGGCCAGGTCTGTGCCTGGTTTGGGCCAGGCATTTCTAGGGTGAGCAATGTCACCTGGCACCAAACCTGCCTGCAGGTCCCCCCTCTGAGCTTTCCTGGATCCCCAGGTGAAGTGTGGTGGCATTGGTACCCTGGGCACGTGGCTTGCATGCCCCAGGGTCTGTGCAGGGCAGCCCTGGCACATCCTTGGCCCTTGGCGTGGGACTGATGCTGTCCCCCGGGACATCCCAATGATGTTGGGATGTCCCTAAGCTTCTTCATCAGGCTGGAGTGACAGAATGCTCAGCCCCATGGCCTTGTGCACCTCAGAGACGTCCTGGGTGGCCCACACAGCTCCCGGGTCCGGCTGTGGTGTGGGTGTCCCTGGGGCAAGGGACAGATGCTTGCAGGGGGACAACCGTGGACTTGGCAGCTTCTGGCTCAGAGGACTTTGGGGACAGTCATGGCAACTGTCACTGGAGGCTGTCACGGTCATGAGCTGCATCTCTGTGCATCGACCCTGACTGCAGTTTCTTGGTGCAGGAGCGTACCAGCACCAGGGAATGGCTTCAGGGCATTCCAAGACATTTCCAGCTCTGGGAAAGGGCCCTTCATGGTCCCCTGAGCTGTTTGCTGCATTTCCTGAGCTGGGAAAGCATGGACAACCATCCCATGGGGCACTTGAGCCACACAAGGTGGAGGTGGAATGCTCTGCTGGGTGCAGAATTGGGCAGAGCAGGGAAAGAAAACCCTGTGGGGTGACAGCCAGGTGGGATCTGGAGAGCCCCCATGGGGAGACCAGAGAGAGGAGGGAGGATCAGGTTGGAAATTAGGAAAGATTTCTTCACAAAAAGGGCAGTCAGGCCCTGGCACAGCTGCCTAGGGCAGGGTGGAGTCCCCACCCCTGGAGGGGTTTACAGCCCTGTGCATGTGGCACTGGGGACATGGGGCAGTGCTGGCCTTGGCAGTGCTGGGGGAATGGTTGGACTCGATGGTCTCAGAGGGCTTTTCCAGCCTTAGTGATTCTGTGATCTCCCCATGGCCAAGGGGGCGACAGACAGCAGGACAGGGCCGGGGTGGCTGGTGGGGCTTCACACACCCTGGGTGGGATTGCTCTGCACTCACATCCTTAGAGGAAGAAGCATTTTCCTTTCCCAGCATCCAAACGTGACTGGAATCTGCCCGCTCCTCCCCTCACCCCCATCCCCCGGTGTTCCAGGGCCGTGGATTTTGCCCCTGAGCCCCACTCAGATGCCTGAGCTCCCCTGGCTCCCTGGGCTCCTGCCCGACTTCTGAGTCTGCAATCCCGGTGTGGCTGGGACCGATGGTGCCCGGGGCTGCGGTCACCAACCCTCCTGCCCTGGTCCCCGTGCCCGCACGGCTCCGGGCAGGTGACAAGGAGGTGACATTTAGCGGAGCTGGATGACGATCGGGGGGGGTGGCGCGGCGGGAGCGGCTCATGGAACTCATTCTAGGGGCTGGAAGGGCTGCGCTGCCTCCAGCGGGGCATGTTGCCCCCGACCCGCGGGGACCCGGCCATGCCCTGAGTGACCCGGCCATTCCCCGAGTGTGGCTGTCCCGGCTGTCCCCGAGTGTGGCTGTCCCGGGTATTCCCTGAGTGACCTGGGTGAGTGTGGCTGTCCCGGCTGTTCCCTGGGTATGGCTGTCACTCGCAGGGCCCTGGCCATGGCCGGTGCCCGGGGCCAGCAGCAGAGGGCTGTCCGTGCCATGCTGGCAGCGTTCCCTGGCCGCTGTGCTCTGCACATGTGTCGCCTGCATCCCGTCCTCCCTGCAGCCGGGCTGCCCTCCCTCCCGCGCCCCAGTGCGTGGTGCTTTCATCCTTCTTGCACCCCAAATCCTTCATGCTCCTTTCCCCCGAACTCCCAGCACATGGACTCCACCCTCCCTTTGTGCTCCTGGCACACAGAGCTCCACACCCCTCTGCCCCTCGGCTCCGCACGTTCATAGGGGCATGGTGCTCCCACACTGGTGACATTCTGGTGACATTCCCATTTCTCCTTATCCCCATCCCAAATGCCAGTGGCTTCATTCACAGTGTGTGCTCTGGCTGCAGTTCATAGCTGAGCTCAGCCTCTTCCTCACCTCTGAGCAGCCCCACAAACCACATCCACACTCCCAGCTCATAGACCTCACTCCTTGTCCCCCTTCCCCCTTGTTCCCTCTTGTCTCCATTGTCACCTGCTCCTTTCCCCTGGCTGGGTACCTCCCACCCTGACCATACCCAAGACACCCAGAGACCTCAGGTTCCACCCACCTCACGTCCCCCGTTTCTCTGTCACACCCCGTCACCTCCTGTCCCTCACAGCCCTTCCTGCAGCCAGCTGAGTTCCCCTGGTGCTGCCTCCCTGTTCCCATTCCCACAGGCAGTGCCATGACATCACCGACACCTTGGCACACCTCAGGCCAGTGACTCAGTGTCCCTCCTGGGGCAGCACCTCTGGAACTCATCACCTTCGTGGAACAGCACCCTTGTGA